GGAACATTCTGCCCCCGGAGGTGCAATTGGCCCCCTCACTCCTGGCCTTCCATAAGGCTTTGAAGACCTGGTTCTGCCACCTGGCCTGGGGTGGGAAGGGAATAACTGAAGCATGGGGATGGCTAGCCCCATAGAGGCCTTCTGCCTTCAGCCTCAGATTTTTTATCCTCTTGGACTCTCCTTCTCCTTTTTAGTAATGTTCGTAAATATATATAAATACATAAAACGTTAGTTATGTTTTTAATGTTTTGTGTGAGTCGCCCAGAGTTCCCCCACTGGGGGAAGATGAGCAGGGGAGAAAATAAATAAATAAATAAATAAATAAATAAATAAATAATTAAATAAATAAATTTGGCCCAGATTAATCAATATGTTTGGGACAGATGTGCAAGAATATCCTGAGACACAACATGAACTTCATCCTGTTCAGACAGACTGCAGGGCTAAGTAAATAGCTAATCATATTGTACCTAACCTCACGTTCCAAAACTGAAAATCCACATAAGCAGCAGTTCTGCATAAGCAATCACTCTCTTTGAGGATAACATGTTTATTGGATCCCTTCCTCCTCCTTCTGTCTGATGTAATATCATGTTGTGTTTTGATGCTGTTTGATGGACAGGGATGTCGTACCTTCTCCTCCACCTGGGCTGAATTTATGAATTGGGGTTAAGGCCTGCCCAAATCACACTGAGACATTTTTTTCAGCATGTATATGGCTCTTTTGTCTTCCAACAGCAGTAAAATAATATAAAGCAAACAAATTATAATTCTTTTCACTCTGATTCTTTTCAGTGCTGTTTTCCTAAAACAACAGTAACAATGGTGAAAGTGGCTAGGTCTGGGGATCATGTTCAGAGTCAGGGTTCAGTTCTGTTAAAACTATACACATACACTTATGTGGAATAGGGAGGACTGCACACCAGAGACATGTCTAGGTGATTTTAATCATCTTGTTTTCTTCAGCCGCTGTTCTGTGAATTATGGAGATCATGTGAATCCTCTCTTGTATTAACTCTACCTTCCTACCTGGTACCCTCTAGATGTGACTCGTTTCCATTTCCACCTCCTAGAGTCAGCATGACCACACTAGCAGGAGTGATGGATTTACAATGCAAATTCTTAGCAGGCAGCAAGTTGGGGAAGGGTACCTTATATTCTGTTTTTCTTCTCCTTTTTTCCTCTCCTGCAACAATAATGGCTTTTCATTGCTATGGATAACCTTTGCCTCTATTCTTCCCTGACAGCCGTAGTGAGAGAGTTTGAAAAGTTAAAGATACAGGAAGGGGGAATATGCTGACCCTAACAAAGTTTGCATTTCAACAAATTATACACCAAATTCCATCTGTTCATTATAGCTCTTAAGTGGCACAGGGGCTTTCAAGGAGTGCTTTGTAACTCCCAGGTGGGTAGCTACACATCTACCATGTGATATAGGAGTTGCCATGGTAACAGGTTCTTTAAAAAATGACATTCTTACTTTCCCATTTAACTCTTAGTTCTCCAGAACATTGCTTATTGTGTTCTGTTTGCCTAAGAGCAGATTGACCTGTGAACTGAAATTCTATTAGGATAAATACCCAAATGAGTTATGTGAAGAAAATCCTAGGTTTCAATTCTAATTCAGAGATCTCAGAAGGAAAAGTGGAAACCTTAAGACCCTGAAACCACTGCCAGGCAGATTCATAATATGGATCTATCATAAGCTCTTAGTTGTTCAAAACTCTACATGACCTTAGACTCTCTTCATCTCCCCAATCAATTGCCCATTACTTTTACTTCCCCAATTCCACACTCTACTTTTCAGAGCTCTTCAGCACCCCCCAAAATTATTGCTTGCTATTTAGATGTTCAGAGTTGATCCCCAAATACCTATTGGATATCATATCCTTTAAAGTCCTACTCAATACATCCTTAATGCTATCTAGCTATACAGCCTTATATTGGACACCTTCATGGTTTCCAGCCAATATAAGCACTGAAGTCCATCACATTTGAAGAGCGCTAGCTGGGAAACTGCTTTATTGTTTTGTTGCAAAGTCACTTCATTTCCTTTTTTCTGCTGCCTCTCTCTTTTAAGCCCTCCACAGAACTGTCTGCTTCATATTCTGTAAAGTACTATGCAAACTGACATAAACAGCAATCGAATAATATTGGGCTAAATGGCCTAGTGGTATAGAGGCCTGACTCAGTATCAATCAGTTCATAAGATGAAATAATCAACAAAGTCTTGGGAAGCTGATAGAAGTGAAACAGAATATGCATGACTAGAAAGTGATATAACAGATATCTTGTTCTCTTTTGGGGTTTTAAAACACATGAAGAGGACCTGGGATAGTAGCTAGAGTCCTATTACTATGCCAGTCATCTCCAATCCTTTTCTTATTCCCTTTCTTTCATAATTTTATCATATTTTCAATTTTGTTTGGTTTTATTGAACATCGCTGAGTCAGTCTGGAGTTGGGCAATGCCTCAATTCAATTAAATTATGGCATAATGGCCATGTTATAAAATGTGTGCTTTGTATGTAGTTAGTACCAAATGGTTCAATGTTTATAAAAACTTCAGTGTGCTTTACACTATTGCCAACATGTTTTTAATCATGTTCCCACTGCCTCATTTGAAATAAATTTCCACCAAGTTCTTATCCATTTTATTTCATTTTCACAAAGTACTGTGAATTACAACATATACATTCTTATGCCATTCAAATCTGGGGGAGGAAAAAACCCTACTATGAATCAACATTCCACAAAATAATGTAAATACTTAACCTTTGGAGACAAGTTTTGTTTTCAAAAAGTGAGCAGTCAAGTCTTATATATTTGGTCCAATAAACTCAGGTGTAACCTAACTTCTCATGATACTTAGGAGAGTAATCTTCACCAGCTTGGTGTCCTCAGGTGTGTAGGGCTACAGCTCTCAGAATTCCCAAACTGCCTGCTCAAATGTTTTAGATTGGAGGAGGCTAAAGTTGATGTGGCAAAATGAGGCTCTATGAGGTATGCGAAAACAAACTTACTGCATCATCCAGGAGTTTTCCTGTACTCTTTTTGCCAGGCGACTTTGATGGGGAAGGTGAAGGAGAAGGAAGAGGAGTTGAAAGTGTCTCTTCTTGTTCAATCTCTTTCTCCAGCTTTATTAATCCAGGAGGCTCCACACCAAACCTTTTAAGGGATAGATTGAACCCTGCACTTATAAATCAGTTTCATCGTATTAATGTCAGTGGCTAAAAATTGTGAAATACCAACATTATAATAATGACATTAGAAATTCTTGCTTAAATTAAATCTTAAGACCTATACTAGTTCTGAGGATAGACTTCAGAAAAAGTAACTATTGGTATTATTGCAATCTTACAAGTTATAGAAACATTACCATTTAATTTTGGACTTCAAGCAGAGCACTGTATTGTATTTATTCAGCCCTGAAGTTACTGACATAGTACAATAAATCTTAAGAAAGCCATACTTCCTGCCACAGGCTGACTGTGGAAGAACAGAGCATGGAGAAGAAAAGGTAGAGGAAAGGATGTTGATAATGGTTTTTAAAAGAAGAGAGAGAATAAAGATGGCTATTATGGCCAAAACTTTCAGTGCGTTCAGAAAGGCCAGAGCAAAAAATAAAAATAAAAAATTGGCCTCACAATTCCAGTGAATATGGAGGATACTGATGATCTGGCTATCAATTGCACTTTTGGCCAAGATATGAGGCCAAGATTTGCTCAGTTATCTTGCTGGATGACTAACTTCAAGAACTAGAACAGAAGAACACAGCTCAGGAGGGAGTATTTTGCAGCAGTTCTAGTTCCTTTTGTCAGAAGGTGGTGCTGGAGAAGTACTACCTAAGTTCTGTAAGAACTGGATGTTGCCTAATCCAGTGATTGACTGGATGTATGTGAACAAAGTAGAACTTAACTGCTTTTTTTTTTTTAACCTCACAGCAATTTTATAACATAGTTTAGGCTGAAATATAGTAACTATTCTAAAGTCATCAACTGGCATCATATCTGAGTGGGAATGGAAACCTGGGTCTTCTGGATATTTGTCCAGCATTCTAAACCGTGTGTGAAAGCAAATTCCAAAGCAATTCAGTTTGTTAATGTTTAATAGAATGTATTGTATATGGGAATGCCCACTGAATGATTTATCTGATTTACTATGTGTTGCCCCCAGAAGTGGAAGTGGAAGGCTAGGAATTTATTTTATTTAATTTATAGGCCACCTGACTCCTAAATGACTCTGGGCGGCTTACAATGAACTGACATTAAGAAAGTAAAATAATCCTGAAATATCAACCTGATTCAGGTTGGGTTGCAATAGTACACAACATCTTTGCAGTGTCATCTGTTGTTATATTCTTCCAAAAGCTATGCTGAGAGTAGACTGCAATGTAGAAATAATTAATATATCTAACACTAGTTTGAATTCCATATAAAAGACCCACCACTAGGACCCAGTAAAGATTAATCCACTGGAAATTGCCCCTTCACATTTCCTTCCAGGTAATACAAACATCGGCTATGTTCATGTAATATGCTATACCTAAACAAATAAACTATACTATGGCTTAATGTAATGGCATGGTTCTCACAACATGTTCAGACAATGGCTTTTAAGAGGAATGAGGCTCAAGCCAGAGAATGAATTTTTGTCTTCTGAACTCTCCTTGTTCCTGTAGGGTTCTTCCAGACAGGTGTATAGATCCATCATTAGAGGTGAACCCTTCCTCTATGATCCCACAATGCCATCACTGGTCACATGTGATCATGATGTAATGACAAGTGAGTACCAGTTTGACTAGCACATGGAGAAAAGCTATTTGCAGCAGCAAATGTCACTGCAGGTTTCCAAATGATCTGAAATGGTCAGAACAACTTGAACAATTCAAGTAAATTGAAATAAGAAAGATTTGTGTTTATGATGGCTGGTCATCTGGAAGTACCCAAAGCCAAAAGGCACAACTCGCATACATTGCAACATTTATTGCATCACCTGGCTTGTTTTTATTATGCAAAGTTACTGGGCATGCTATTCTTTCTGCAGTGGGAATACAGAGCAATTCATAGTCTTAAGAAGGTTTTCCCATTTCAGGTTTTCCAAAAATATTGGGGCTCGTACCTCCAGAATTCCTAGCCATCACGCAGGAGCAGGGAAGAGGACACTGACACATTGGAAAAGACAGTGTTAGGCTGTAAGAAAGTGGAAGTGATTTTTTTTTTCTAATTTGTAGATAATTCAATTATAACTACTACAAATATTTCAGTGCTGTTTGTTATGCAGTGCATATGCAAGTGGAATTTATCTCACTGGTTTTTCTCTTTCGAATTCCAGATCCCAGACTTTTAATAACGCACTTAATACAAATATGCAGATGTTGAGAGGCTGTAAATCATTCTGTTCCCACTGGACCCTGACTATACACCTGTATGCAAACCTACTCATCAGACATAGCTCCTGTGTTCTTCAAGTGAATACAGATTCCTTTTCTCTTCTCCTTCAACATCTTATAACACAATCGATCTTATTTTTATGGATTTAAACCTGTTTTCTTCCCAGTCTAGCTGTTATCTTTATTTTGTTCCAGTCCCTTACATTAAATGCTACTGCATCTACACATGCTTATATTTAGCTACACAGTAAATGAAGATTAAATTTGATTTATTCAACTCCATTTAATCAATTCCTCCTTCTTTCTTCTTGTAATTGATCACTATTTTGATGTGGCAGGATTAGAAACTCCATTCACCATGAAAGTAAAGCCAGCAAAGTATAAACTCTGTCACAGAGTCACCTTTACTGGTAAGGTCAAATGGGGAAGGATGAACCTATGGTCTCCACAAGAGACAACAGCTTAATTTTCTGTGAGAGCAAAGTTCAGAATAGTTAAAGCTACAGATTTCCCAGTGGTAATGTAAGGCTGGGAAGGGTGGATATTAAGAGTAGGAGATTGTGGATAGACTCCTTCAAATTATGGATTTGGAGACAGTATTATGGACTCTAAGAACTAATTAATCAGTCCTGGAAGAAATAAAGACTTGATGCCTGACTGAAGCAAGTAGGACCTCACATACTTTGATCACATAATGCAAATGGATGATGGTGTAGAAACAATGATTATGCTTGGTAAGGTGAGAGAGTACAGAATAAAATCAATGGACAGGATGAGGGATGTCCTTTGAATGTCTCTGGAAGTGCTGTAGATTGCCACCAGATACAGATCAAGATGCAAGGCTGTGTGGGTAGGGGGAGTTTCTCTATAAATCACCAGGAATCAGATCCAACTCAGTAGCATGTAACTGTAAATTCTGTATCTTGCAAACTTAATGGACCCAAAAGGAAAGGGGTGTGGGTAGGGGGAGTTTCTCACTTCCAAAAACTAACATTCTTAATTATACAAACCTCTATGGATCTTAGAAACACCAGCCTGAATTCTTTTTCATCCCTTCTGAGTCCTCTGTAAATGCCAGATGATTTAGGAGGATGGGATAATGGGATACCCTCCCCCCCCCCAAAAAAAAAGGGCTAGCATACGTAACACTTAACAATTTCCACTGTTTGGAGTTCCATGTTCTCTGCTATGAAAAGCCTTAATCTTCATATCAATTGCATAATATAACTTT